GACAATATTGGAGATTGAAGTGCTGTAAAGGACAAAATGCGATGAAAATCGTCTATTGTTGGTCGCTACTTGAGGAGAAACGAGACTCATGATTCAACTTTAATACTGAATATTCGATCTGAACTCCTCTCTTGTTCTTAGTATGTTGATGTACTTCTTCAATTCTATGGGTTTATATTTGATAAACGTGTTCAGTAACTTTATAGTTAGGACGAACAAATATCGTCTAGTTTTGTTAAGAATTGAGATTCCATCTTAAAAGGTCAACCTTATTAAGAGGAGTAACACAATTCTTTATAAGTTGATCTATGTTCATATGTGGGATTCTCTTAACATGTCCCCGCAAGATGGTAGCTCGTTTGAGCAGGCCAATCTTTAAATCTGTATGCTCACTTTTGGAGTCTTAACCGGATTGAATTACTCGTTAGAACTTAATGAACTTAATAAAGTTCCAACGAGCAATTTGATTTAATTAAGACTCAAAAAATTCGAGCACACGGATTTCAAGATTGGTCTGCTCAAACGAGTCACCATCTTGTGGGGGCATATTAAGGGATAAAATCTCACATCGAATAAAGATGAAAAAATAAACCAACTTATAAAAGATTGATCTACTCCTCTTAATAAGGCTGACCTTTTAAGATGGAACTCAAATTCTTAACAAATTTTAATGGTCTAATTCATACATTTTGATTTTCACTTTAATGTTATCTTTTATACTCTTGTTTTTGTTAAATTTATTGTCTTTAAATGCTTAGTCACCGTTTAAATGATTTGTGAACCATAGTGAGACTCATATGAGATTTATGAGTCTAGAGACTGTACTGAAACTATGAAAACCATAGATTTGGATATGAGATAGAAATATATAATCCTATGATTTGTAAGATCTCATGAGGATTTTCTAGTTATTTAATTTACTTGCTTATATTAATAATTCAAATACAAACATAGTATACTTTTATAATTAAGTAGTTTTGAGTTTACTCGAGAGAGACTGTCAAATAAATTAAAAAAAATGATCTATTGCATGATT